AGAAGGCGATCGGCTAGTGTCAGGGTCATTTCAAGATGACTTCAAAACTAAATAAAGGTCATAATGATTAACAACCATACGACATTGAAAACCAAATAAAGGTCATAACGGCCGTGTTGTAGAAAGATGGTCTGGTCTTTGAGTGAGTGTGTGGTGTCTTTGATCGCGAGTTCAAAATAACTTTGAACTTGTAGTAGTAGTAAGTGGGTAGTGATTATAAAACCTCGCATTTGGGATGGATTATTTCATGGATAGCGTATGGTGACAAGGATAACCGTAGAGGTATAATAGGGATATCCTAACACAACTCCATGTAAATTTCTATTAGGAAATCGGCTGCTGTCAAATTTTATATCGCTCTCGTCTTTTCCGAGCTTCAAAACTACACACAAAAACGATGTGGTGAATTAGCTCCGTGTAAAGTTCAAAAATTGCTCGCCGATCAAGGTCTAAAGATTGGTCACCGTTCGAAGTTCAATATTTGGTCGTCATTTAAATCCAAAAGTTGATCGTCGCTCAAAGTCCAAAGGTTGGTCGCCGTTCAAAGTCCAAAGTTTAAAGGTTGATGAAACTACCAATTTTTGAGGTTAGTGAACCCCCTGAGAAAAAATTCGGCAAACTTCAAAAGACAATTGGACCGTTTTTTTACGAAAAAAAAAGTTCCGGAACAACAGTTTTCGTAACGAAGGGCCTCTTGATCTAGTTACCGGGTGGTAGCGGTCATCTATGTACGGTGTGTTCATACATTCCGGCATGAAGAGTGCTACGTTACACTTATCACGGTCCCCCATACCTCTGGTGGTGGATGGGAAAGTCAAACGGCCCTTTAAAAATCCTAGTGCGTTACAATTATTGAAGAAGCTCAAATTGTTAGAAATTAATGTTATTAATACCAAGTACTTTGTGCGGATAATGGTAGATGCGGATGATTTTAAAGAGAAACAGGGGAATTTAAAATGAGTGCTAACAGGACCATTCTAGGAATAGTTCAAAGAGAACGGCGCCGGCGGTCTGAACATAATCTAAAAGTCCTTGATTAATTTTATGATTTGCTTATTTATTTATTTATTTATTTATTTATTTATTTATTTATTTATTTATTTATTTATTTATTGATTTATTGATTTATTGATTTATTTATTTATTTATTTATTTATTTATTTATTTATTTATTGATTTATTGATTTATTTATTTATTTATTTATTTATTTATTTATTTATTACTTATTATCTTATCAAAACCCATTAACATTTAACACCTGTCCATTTTACACAAAAAATAATGCCCAACAAATAAACTCTAAAGATACAAAGATTGTGCACAAAGAGAAATCTGCAGATTTTATCAACTTAAAAAGCAATAATTTTACTTTTCAGCGCATTTCCACAAAAATAAAAAAATTGCGCTATTGTGACCACTTTGTCCGTCCGTCCGCCCGCTCGTTCGTTGAGACGCTACTAGTTCTTTATCTTAAGAGCTATTGTTCTACTTTAATCGCTATTTGGTTCGTTATGGTGTCGAGGCTTGCACCAAGCAAGGAATTCTTTCTACGTTTATTGCTAAAAAAGTTATTGTAAAAAAACCAAAAAACCGTTTTTTGCATGTTCCATAATTTTACACTTTTGCCATTTATTAACGTTTGTTTATATATGTTTATAATTTTGTATTGCTGTCTGTCGTCTGTCTGTTGGTCTGCCCGTCTGTTCCTTTGTCTGTCTGTCCCTCTATTTGTCCGTGTGAACGATAATTTTGTTTAGAAATGTCCGATCGCTTTTAGATCTCCGTTAGTTATGAACTGAATTGCATGAAATTCAATATTGGCAGCTTTAGCCGTATAATACGCAATGCCAAAAGTTGAGTCGAATCGATTCAAAATTCCCAGTACCCTTTTCGCATCTCGACCATTTATAAACCGAATTGCAACCTTTTTTATTTATAAAAGAAAATCTAACGCCAGTTTCAAAATTTGGTTTTGCGCATGCGCAGTGTCAACTTTTTTATTTATGGAAGCATTTAAATGAAATTTGATACATATAGGTGCTTGGAACAAAGGAAAATCTAACGTTAGTTTCAAAATTTACATTTGCGCATGCGCAATTCCAACTTTCTTATTTAGGAAAGCATTGAAATGAAATTCTTCTTATGAACAGAAATTAAAGTAGCACGTCAAAAATGGATTGCACATGTAAAGCGCTATCTTTTATATTTGTGGTCGGATTTTAACGAAGTTGCATCTTACAAATGAGAAATGAATACAAGTGGAAATGTGCTTTTTGTAAATCGTTTACGATTACTTTTTAACTTGTTTATATAGGTAATATAATGTAGGGCAATGATGGCCTACACTTAATTTAACAAAAACAAATCATCCTTGCCGTCTTTCTCATAAGCATAAAATATGCGTGGTATAACAGCAACATATTTGAACTTAGAACACCTGAAAAAACCCTATAAATTTTAAGTGAGCGTCTAAAAAGATTCTTTGAAGGATTCCTTAAAAATGCCTGATCAATTTCTTCAGAAGCTTTAGAGAGTCTTCTTGAAGAATTTCTCAAAAACCTGTGAAAGACCTGAAAACCTAAAAACGTACAAGTACAAAGCTTTTATCGTACAAGTTTGCACAAAAGTGGGACAGTTAAAAATTGCTCGTACCTATCTAAAAATGTGCAGGAGGTTCCAAAAAAAGTTACATCTCAAATATTTCCAGTCCCACGGTTGCAATCGTGAGAAGAAATGCATCAAATTTGCTCATTTTAACCTACTAGGAAAATAGGAATAGTGCCAAGATATCCGTTATGCCTATCACACACCTTTTGAAAATTAGAATACAGGAAACATTAAGATAGCATAATTTTCGTCGCAAAATTGATTTAATTAGGCCCATCGGCACCTGACCAACTAATTAAAGTCAGCCGCCCCCGCTTGTCTGACCAAAACGCATATTTTATCAATGAAATGCAATGTAACTGAAAGTAACAGTTTCGACAGTCAGTTCAGGACATAAATCAATAGATTTGCTGCCATTTAAATTGTAGTCAGAAGTTACCACGTCTTCAATTTACAACCACATTCGGTGATTTTGATATCTAAATGGGCACCTTTTTTTTCGAACGTGACAGGAAAATTGAATTTCTGTGGCTTGCGTTTGGAGTTGAGTGGGAAAATTTATTTCAGCGAGTGGGAGGCGCAACGGTAGGTATCCGAAAAATGCAGTCTAACATTGGCACCACTTACAAATTACAAAAATTCGCCTACACGCATTGTTCTGTTGTCACGTGCACGAAGCCCAACTCCGGGTCGTAAACACCCAGGTAATTAAACTGCATTAAAAAAATGCGGCCCGATCAGGCGTGCATAATTCGGCTGTTAAAAGCAACCAAAAGGACATTAGGGGAATGATTAGTGAACGGTTTGCACGCGGTTTTGCACAAAGTATGCATTGATGAGGTATAAATTATTCATAAAATGTCCAAAATTATTCGGCGCTCCGATAAGGAATTGCAGGATCGCCAATAAATTTGAATTTTTAAGCTGCGAGATTTGATCTGATGCAAATTTCCATTCAGAAAACCTTTATTCTGGAAAATGCTCCAGATCATCTTCTCTTTGACACTTGTCAACAACTTTACAAGTCGATATACCATGCAAATTAAATGCAAATTGCGCATAATTCGATAAGCATGTAAATCTATACCTTTCGTTGTTTACATTGAAATATAAGTTCAACGGCGACGAATTTTTAATAACAAATACACGGTCCTTGATCCTTGGTGATCCTTGATCTTTGATGTTCATTTTTTTATTAACACTTCATCCTAGATTACTTATTAACTTTGATCCTATTATCTGGATGACTATCTTCATATTCCTGTTGATCTTGGTTAATGTTACAAGACACTTGACTAATAGCGACTTTTAATGTATGGCGATCGATTGTCTCTTTAATCCTTGATGAGCCTTGTTTTTTTTACTGTTATTATCTTTTAATGATCTTTGATCCTTTATGATCTTGAATCCCCTAAGGTCTTTTGGTTCCGGCTATTTAATTACTAGAGACCTAAAATTTCATAATTTGGTCTTTGATGATAATTATTAATCGTCGAATTCACGATATTTAATCTTCATACCTTCTTTATTACAGCATTTCCGGCGAACGCCCAATTTCATCTTTAATTCTGGATGATGGATGCTAAGTATTGGTAATTCTTGCCAAACTTTTATTTTTGGTAATAATATTTGGTGCCAGATCGTAATGATTTTTGGTTCTCAATGGCTCATAATTTTTAATGATCCTTGAACCTGATTATTTACTGACCCAGCGTTGATAATACTGAACACCGCCAATCTTTGAATCTTGATTGGAGACACATTGTTACCAAGTTCGAATTTAATCTTGATAAAGTTTGGTTCTCGACAATTAATTGATACCAGATGACCTTGAAGGTCCTAATGGTTCTTTGGTTGATTTTAACGGTTTGCCCATTTTTTCGAATTCTGTTATTTACTCTTTGATATTAGGTTGACCGACAAATTTGGCGCTATCTTTAATGACGGGTCTTTTGATTTGAACTACAACGATTACACGTTAATTGAATTAACGTGGTTTTCTCATTTAGTGTCTGAAAAACAGACTCTATCACCCCATCCCTACTTTTTTAATTTCACAAGGATCGCCTACAAAATGGTGCGAATAGGCTAAAGCGGCCATCTGTAATCGGTAACCAATAGACAGCGCCTACTTAACGCAATCCTGCGCATATAGAATAATATGATTAGTTCTGATTTAGTCGTTTTGGTTACGTTAAAGACATTAACATTGTGTTATCGCCCGTCAGACTGGCGCTGATAACTTTTCCCAGGCTATTAACCGGTTACGACGCATCCGGTATCAATCGCTAAATCTAGTAAGAATCCATTTACCTTTATTTGTAAAATTTTGGAATAAACAGCCCACATCAATAACTAATTGAATTAAAATCCTACTTTGTTACAGATATTGCGAAGACCTGGAAGTGTTTTTTGATGTCATTGGTGAGTACCTACCTGCCATTACTTGTTCCTCATTTGGGAACTAATATGACCAAAGTCTTTGCCTCCTGCTTTAAATTTTAAAAGATTCGTAGTTACGTATAAATTGCACTATGTCGCAACAAAAATGGGTTGCGTCTTTATTTCCTGGATATTGCCCTACCAAAAATCTGTAAAATTTCGCATTGGCAACATCGTTTGAATGTGTTCCTGGGGTAAAATCCTCCTTAACGACACGGATATAACTTGAGGAGATCCGCTCATTTGTCTCGTCCATAATAGGTAATGTAGAATGCGAGAAGAAATTAAATTTCTCTATGCTCCTGAAAAACTGATTCGTTTTATTGCCTGTAAAGTTTATTGTTTCATTTCCATTCACCGAGCGGCCACTTTACTAATGAACTTCAAAGGATTTAATTAAATTTATAATTGATTAAAGCCTTTACCTCATTGTCTAGTTTATTATCTTGATACTTTAACACAAAGCCCCCATTTGAAAAATTCGTTCCGCCGGATCGCGCCGATAATCACTCATCAGTTAGTGACAGAGGAGAGCGCCATCTACATGCCGCCTTTTCCCCTCACATGTCCATTATTATTGATGCGTGTAAGTGGCGATGAAGACGTGTATTATGTGTCGGTTATTAACATACTGAGGTAATTAGTTCAATTATGAGACCGCATTAGTACCTACTTCATGATTCATTACGGCACGTTGAGGTATTCATTGATGGTAGCGGCAAAAATTTCTCATCGCCGCAATTAGCGTAATGAATTTCGCTGTCGCTCGTCTCGTTTAAATATCTTGAAATTGTACAGGAAACTACGCAAAATGTCAGCTGGATACTTTCATGCCTTAATGCATTCATTTATCTGCGGATTAAACTTGCAGTTTTCAAAGATCAGTAACAAAGTTAATTGACGATTAAGACTTTACAGCTTTACTTCCTTTTGTCTGCAACTTTAAACTCGTTGGAAGCTCCCGCCCTTTCCCTCATCTTTAATTGCCTCAAATAAGTGTTTTATTCCACTCCTCGCAGGGCCCATTTCTGCACTCCCTTCCACAAGATCCAGAGTGTTCTATTATAATAACCTACCATGAAAATTAAAGATGGCTTCCCACCACAAATCCTTTCCTTCGATCACTTTATTTATTTTATTGTGTGTATATTTTAGATGTACAAAAAACCTATGGCCGAATCTGATTCTGATTCTAATCAGTGGCAATTATCAGTACCACGCTTCCACTACAACGTGCCGTTCGATTTCATAATTACATATCGTCACTAAACCATCCACAGGCACCTGTTCAGCTAGGTCAGTTAAATTCAGGGACTAACAAAACCTTTAAAAGAAATAATTGTAATTTTTGTAGGGCAAACATCCTTGAAACTAATTAGCTGTGCAACGATACGAAACTTCTTATCTATGACTGGAGAAAATCATGAGATAAACTTTTACAAATACTAGACAAAAATTACCAAATGAATTATTTAATCTATAACACGCAGTTTAACTCTGCAATAAACCAAAATAAAATAAACAATACAATTATTTAAACAAAATCAAACATCAAACAATTAAATAATTCTGATATAACAACATTGTCCTCGAATTCAACCGATAGGACCGAGATTGTGGAGCGTGGGGTACAAGCAGGTAAAAAAGGGCATCACTTATCTTTGGTACAATAAAACCTTTCTGTTAAAAGTAAGATGGAGAATTACATGGCCTTGGAGGCCAAATTCAACGTTAACAACAAAATATGTCGAAATTAGTGAATCAAAACTCATATATCGCACATATATTCTAAACCAAAGAGGTTTGTGTTAGCAGAGTTCCACCCCTGGAACAGGTAGCAAGGCCCTCGCTCGAGATTTCCCAGTCTATCGTAGATTTTATATACAGGGTGGAATCTCAGCGATGGATCGAACGTGTTATGGAAGAGGAGAGATGTTTCTTAAAATGGCCTCCTCGATCACCAGATATCGCCCCATGTAACTTTCTTCTATCTATATGGAGACACATTAAAGATCTGGTGTATATACCTTTTCCACATTATTTAGAAGAACTCAAAGAGAGAATACGGGAAACGACTACCACAGTCGACAACACCATGGAAGGGTATGGTATGGTGAGAATTCTATTACTGTACCTATGGACGTCTACCGGGCCACTCATGGTTCATACCGAATGTTTATAAATTTAAAAAAAGTTCCTATCCAATAAATACATTAAAGAGTTCCAGGAGTTTATGTACACGATGTATATAGTGCTCCATCATTTTTTGCGTAGATATAATGTGTAAAAAGTATTTAGTAATTCCAAAGCCTCGAACCATAAAGGTTGGAGGTTTTGAGGATTATGGAAATTTTGTAGATTTTGAATTATTATAGGTTTTAATTTTGAAGATTATGAACTCTCTAAATGTTCAGTTTGAATTTTTGGTAAATTTTTTCCAGCAGAAGATGTCGATTTGCTTGTGTTCGTGATCAATTTGATAGGAAAGGCAATTCTTGCAAGCCAGAATCTAGGAAAGGAAGTTGAAGAAAGGCAATAATAGGATGCAGCGATGCGAAAGTTCCCAATCGTCGAATTTAGTCCAAAATCTTACGTACCTACGTCAAAGGAAATCCTCGATAAAATAAATTCTGCATAATTTATTCGAAAACACCAGAACTAGTTTTTTTTCGTTATCTGCGCGAACAACTAATTTACAATTAAAATATTTTGAAGAAAAAAAGGTAACAGATGGGTTCAAGTTGACATGATGTACGGCACGTGTGGTGGGCACAAATTTTAATATAACCTCTTGGACCTTGCTCTTCGCCTTAAATAAATCACTTTAATATTTTGCGCGCGCGTACAACAATTAAGCTGTAAACATTAATTTTGTATTCAAATGAGCTTCTTATTTAGTGACCTCCTCCGCCGACACTTTCAATCATGGAAGTGCGCGATTATGCGCCTCTCGACTGACAAGAGGACGACATCGATTTATAATGCTAATGGAAATATCGGATACGAATTTTGTTCACGTAGGCACGTCGAAATTATTACTGCCAATTTGGGATTGGCCCAACTGATCCTTGAGATGGCGATATTTTGATATATTTTATGCTATTCGCTTTTAAGGCAAATTTCTTTGACAAGTTTTGGCTATCGGGGTGGTCTCTTAATGTATGGTGGTCATAATTATTATTGGTCTATGGAGCGATAAGCAAGTAGAAGGAATAAAAATGGTATGTAAACAATCCCCAGTGACATACTTCAAGTTATATCTACAAGACACTCCTTTCAAACCGAACCACTGATTCTAATTTTGATAAAAAATCAGAAATTACAAAAATTCGTTCATTAGAAAAGCTAGGAGGGTTTTAGCATTCACTTTTGCACACGCAGCTATCCCCACTATAAAATTGTAGTATGCATCCCCATCGACTGGTACGAATTTGGATGGTTTCTACTATTACATAGACAATAATACAATCTACCTTTCAAACATCCACCGTCCAAAAAGTCCCGATTAACTTCCGGTTCGCTTATTTAAAACTTTTTCCCTTTTCATTCATTTCCTTCTTCCATAATTTACAAAATAGTACGTTTTTTAGAATAACCTACACATGCGTGAACTTACTTGCGATAATACGTCCATATCTTGAAACTAATTAGCTTCCGCCACCATAACAAAACTTCTTATCTACGACCGGAGATAAAAATGAGATAAACTTTTTACAAATACTACGCCAATAATTATAGTCCTTTAACGCGTAATTTATACCAAGACATAATAAACAAAACAATTATTTAAACAAAATCAAGCATCAATTAATTAAGTAATTGTGATACAACATCAACATTATCCTTAGAACCAACTAATATGATCGAGATTGTGCTTAGTCCCAAATTCCAACAATATTTATAAATAATTCCCTCCATCATGGCCACATGGTGGTGATCTTGGAAAGTAAGTCAACGTGAATTTGAAAGGTCACCTGCCACGTGGCGGTGACCTTGGACAGTAGACCAACGAGAAGGTTAAAGATCGTTGGCCGCCAAAGGTCAATTTTTATAGCATACATTTTTAATGCCAACAAATGATTCCATTTTTGTGGTGTCATTAAGATCTTCATCAAATTTCTTGTATTATTTTCAGGGGATGACCTTGGATAGTAGGTCATGGTAAAGCTCAAAGATCGTTGGCCCCCAAAGGTCAATGACTCTATTTTTAGGGGTCAATGGCCCCTTTTTTGCGGTGTCATACTTGACGTTTATATTATTTCGTTAGCAGAAATCAGAAACCATTGACTCCACATGACTTTCACAACAGCTTTGCTTATGTAAGCTGGCCACATCCGTTTGTGCTGTCTCTTCTCATTTTCTCCCTCGTTGCTTACGTTAGCAGTAGTGATACAGAGTCGAACATAAACTCTTCAGGGTCGCGTGTCATCTGGTGATGGCCTTGGCAAGTACGTCAAGGTGAAGATCAATGATTACCTGTCACGGTGTGGCGGCCTTGGAAATAGGTCAAGGTGAAGTTAAAAGCACATTCGCCCCGCCTCCACTCTTCTTTGATAGCGACCTTCACCTTGACCCACTTACCAAGGTCAGCACCTGAATTCGCTAGAGCCACATTACAATAAGTAAAGTTAAGGAAAATTATAAACATTAAACAAATCTCATAAATTTGAAAAACTAATTTTAAATATTGACAAAAATTTTTGAAATCTTTCCTAAACCATATCATCATTGCAATCAACCTGTAACTTTCTTTTGTTTCTTTTTGAACTGTTTTGTTTTTTAGGTCAGGTCAATTTTCTTAAATATAGGTACAAAAATCTTCACTTCTGCTTGAATATCATCGAGAATTCACCAGATCCTTGTCAATTTTCTTGAAACCTCCTTGAAATCTAGAAAGTGGATTCAATCTTCTTGAAATCCTCTTGAAGCCTCCAAGGGATCCTCTTTGAGGGCGATTTTATTGAGAACTTTGTAACGTTATATAGAAATATTCTTAAATCTTCTTGAAATATTCTGGAAAATACTTAAGGGACGTAATATTTGTATGAAACTTTCAATAGTTTTTTTTTCTGCAATTACTGGAATTGGCGTCATCTTAAAATTGCAAACATGTAACAAATTTCCAAAAATTGAAAAACTAAACAAATTTAAGACATTCCCACAATTTTTTGAAATCTCACCTTAGCATCTTTTGGAATTTTTATTTTTTGGGAAGTCAACTTGTAATTTAAAATATTATCGGATTCATCTTAATTGTTCTTTCTGTTTGAATTTTTTTAAATTTTAAGCTTTTATACATTTTTTTTAAAGACAATAAATTGATTTTGAACACTTCTAGAATTCCTTAAATTTCATCAAATCAAAAAAAGTAAGAGAACAGTAAAAAGAGCGTGCCATCTGGTGGTTGCCTTGACAAGTACGTCAAGATGAAGATCAACGATCACCTGTCACGTTGTGTTGGCCTTGGAAATAGGTCAAGGTGAAGTTAAAAGCACATTCGCCCCGCCCTCACTCTTCTTTGGTAGCGACGTCACCTTGACCCACTTACCAAGGTAAGCACCATAATTCGCATCAAGGGCAACACTACAATAAGTAAAATTAAGGAAAATTATAATTATTATTATATTATAATTATATAAATTATAAAGATTTAACAAATCTCATAAATTTGAAAAACGAATTTTAAACATTGCCAAAATTTTTTTAAATATTTCTTAAACCATATCATCTTTGGAATCAACCTGTAACTTTCGTCTTGCAAGTTTGTTTCTTTTTGAACTGTTTTGTTTTTAGGTCATGTCAATTTTCTTAAATGTAGGTACAAAAATCTTCATTTCCGCTTGAATATCATCGAAAATTTACCAGATCCTCATCAATTTTCTTGATACCTCCTTGAAATCTAGAAAAATTGGATTCAATCTTCTTGAAATCCTCTTGAAGCCTTCAAGGGGCCCTCTTTGAGGGCGATTTTATTGAGAACTTTGTAACATTATATAGTTCTTCTTGTAATATTCTGGAAAATACTTAAAGGACGTAATATTGGTACGAAACTTTCAATAGTTTCCTTTTCTGCAATTACTGGAATTGGTGTCATCTTAAAATTGCAAAAATTTAACAAATTTCCAAAAACTAAACAAATTTAAGACATTCCCACAATTTTTTGAAATCTTTCCTTAGCATCTTTTGGAATTTTTACTTTTTTGGGATGTCGACCTGTAACTGTTTTGAAAACTTATTAAATTTTTAATATTCTTCGTGAAGCCCTTTAAAAGTGTCATCGGATTCATCTTAATTTTTCATTCTGTTTGAATTTTCTTTAATTTTAAGCTCTTGTGCATTTTTTTCAAAGACAATAAATTGATTTTGAACACTTCTAGAATTCCCAGAATCTTCATCAAATCAAAAAAGTAAGAGAACAGTAAAAGGAGCTGTACAGGAAAAAGCAAAATCTAGAAGTCGAAAAGTTAAACAAAATTTGGATAA